GGTCCATTTCCAAAGCAGTCATCAAAATGATATGCTAGAGGTATGACCCAAGTAGTAGAGTGCCAACTGAACACACAAGAGGCTCTGAGTTCAAACCCTAGAACAAGAAAAAAAATTTTAATGAAATCATGTCATTTGCCAGGAAATAAATGGAACCAGAGATCATCATGTTAAGAGGAATAAACAGACTCCAAAAGATAAATGTCACATTTTTCCCCATTTGTAGAAGCTACATTTTAAAAAGGAAGGAAAAGAAGAGGAAGGAAGGGACGGATATGAAAAAATAGAAGCTAAAACAAGATTTGGTGAGAGGAAAAGGGTGAGTGGGAAGGGTAGAGGGATAAGAAAGTGAAATAAAGAATGAATATAATCAAAGGGCAATATAAATATTTATTTAAAATGAAATCTATTCTTTTGTAATAAAACCTATAATTTTGTATTATAAAATGTGTTAATGGGAAAATTACATTAACAGGTTGAGACACTGGGAAAGAACATCTTCACAGTCCTAAAGTAGGAAATAATCATCAAAAACAACCATATGAGTTAACCACTCTTTCTACTATAATCTTGTTTATTACCTTTATTTTAGAAAAGATAAAGTAAGGCTTACTATAATAAAATAAGTGGCTCCAAAACACAGAGACAGCAAACTGATAGAGCTTCAGGAATTGTGAGAGTTGAGTTTAAATGTCTAACCTTTCATAAAGTTGCATCCTACCTCAGTTTCTGTTAAGCTTTTTCCCACAGTTCACCATTGCATGGAAGTTGTCATGAGAAAAAAAAAACTTGATATGACACATTAAAAAGTGAACATAAGGGGATGGGAAGGTGGCTCAGTGGTAGAGCGCTTGCCTTGCATGCTTGAGGCCCTGGGTTAGATTCCTCAGCACCACATAAGCAGAAAAAAACAAAAGCCGGAAGTGGCGCTGTGGCTCAAGTGGTAGAGGGCTAGCCTTGAGCTGAAGAACTGAGGGACAGCACCCAGGTCTAGAGTTCAGGGCCCAAAACCAGAACTTCCCCCCCCAAAAAAAAGGTGAACATAAGGGCTGGGAATGTGGCTCAGTGGTAGAGTGCTCACCTAGCACGCATGAGTCCCTGGGTTTGATTCCTCAGTGCCACATACACAGGAAAAGCCAGAAGTGGGGCTGTGGCTCAAGTGGTACAGAGAGCACAGAGAGGCTCAGGGACAGTGCCCAGCCCTGAAGTTCAAGCCCAGGACTGGCCAAAAAAAAAATCTGAACATAAAGCTGAGCAAGTATTCAAGGCTTTGAGTTCAAGCTCTGATAACTATACACACACACACACACACACACACACACACACACACACACAGGTTCATTACAAAGCTCTTAACTCATAATGATTCTGTAATAACTGTAATACTCACTTATCCTTTATTTCCTAAAGGCTCTTCAAATTGTTATTTCCATAACTAAAGTCATTGTCTTTCCTCCCTGCCATGGTCAGGCTCCTCCATCTTACATAGGCTGACCTTGTCCCAAATATCCTCATTCAATGCCAAAATCTAGTTGTAATCCTTGATACCTCTAGTTTTTGGCCTCTTTATCCAACTACTTATCTCTCAAATCTCAACCTCACCATCCTATAAAGCCACTTACACATTCCCTATATCAGGAGTCCATAAACTTTCACCTGTCATTTTATAGTTATAGGAATTACATATGAGATAAAGAAATCTCATTTTCATTTATAGTTGAATAAAATGGTATTCAAATTAAAATAATTTGCTGCAAAAGCAAAATATAAAAATCTAGAAAAATATCTAATCAAAATTATGACCTATTTCTGCTCTCATGGAATTAGCCATACTACAATTATAAATATACTCCCCCATGTCTTAAACCTCCTATGAACGCTTTAACACTGAGAGTCATTTTCAGTCAGGTCTTATACATAACATTTCTGAATAATAAATTCAACCTATGTCCCTAACTTTGAGTCTATATGAAATAGAATATATTCATCATTCAGGAAAAGTTCAATCTCTAATCTGTTAGCATTTTTAATTAATTTATATGTAATAAATTGTATGTAATTAATTATATATAATTATACTGTACAACAATAAGTATGAAACATTCTTATGCACTTTTTTCTAATTCAACATTTCTGAATATTGAGTTATAAATATGATATTGATATAATATTCATGATATATAAAATGAGTATGATATTGATAATCATCAAATATAGATGTTTGTATGGTATCCTTGCTAAAGATTCCACTGTTATTAGTATTTCCATTAGGAATGCTTTTGAGTATAAGAAATTTAAAAAATCTTACTAGTGACAAACAAATTTGGGAAGGGAATATTTTTCTATCACTAGGAAAAGATTTCAGATAGCTTTAGTCGAGTGACTAAATTATGTCATAATTACTCCAATAATCTTCACCTCTCCTTCATCTTCATAAACAGCATATTAAATCAAGACATCACTTTTCCATTAAAAGATACTTTCAGTTACATCTTTTTCTTTCTATCACGACCTTATCCTCCAAAAAAAATTTTTATCTCATGTGTTAGAATTATATTTCACACCTGTTAGTAGGTGCCAGGGAGAGAGCTAGGTCAGTTTTATATTTTTCAAGTCTCTCTAATGAGCATTGCAAGAAAAAAAAGAAAATGAGAAAGTCTATTGGGACCACCATGAAGCAAAGTCTGTAACCATCTATTCTTAAAGCTAATCAACATTATTACATATGTATTTTTTGCATTTAACACACTTGCCTTCTTCCTGAAAGAGACAATCCCAAAGTCTCATTAGTTATAAAATCTACCTCCAAATCCAGGGTAACAAATCTTTCTGTCATTGAATGTACACTGTGGATCACTGTGAATAGCTGACCAATAAACCGAAAGATAAATTGTTCCCAACAAAACTCAATACACAAAAATGGAGACAAAATAGGGTAAATGCAAAAATACTATCATTCAGAAAGGGAAAATTGAAAAGTATACACTGGCAAATATATAACATGTTGTATCCCTATATGAATGACGGTTTAAGTTCCTTGTTTATCCCGTCTGACTACACCTGATCGGCCACTTAAAAGGTTCCCCCTTGGGCTGGGAAGGTGGCTCAGTGGTAGAGCTCTTGCCTTGCATGCTCAAAGCCCTGGGTTCGATTCCTCAGCACCACATAAGCAAAAAGAAAAAAGCCGGAAATGGCGCTGTGGCTCAAGTGGTAGAGCGCTAGCTTTGAGCTGAAGAGCTGAGGGACAGTTCAGGCCCCACGACCGGACCCAAAAAAAAAAGGTTCCCCCTTGACCACTGTTACTCATATCTCCTGGTTCTACTCTTTGTGAGGATAACCTTTGTTCATTATCTTCTTAGCTTTGTATGAACTGGTGTTAACATTACATTTCTTGGATATTTGTGGATTTCCTGTCTGCTTGCTAGTATATGCATCACATTACTAATATAATTACCTCTCAGAGGTTGAATAGTAAGAGATTATTTTAAATCAAGGCTTATAGTATCTTTAGCCACTAGAATATGGCATTTAAATTTAATATTTAATTTTTCAATACCTACTTGCTACTACAGTAACCTACTATATTGGATAATGAAAATACAAAACATTTTCATCACTATTGCAAGTTCTAGTAAACAGTTCTACATAAAGAATATCTTCATAAAAGTGCTGTTGAATTTTGTTTTGTGTTCTAAATGTACACAAAGAAGCACAGTTTTTATGTGGTCAAAAAATACTTTTGCACTGAGAATGTGGCTTAGTGGTAGAGTGCTAACCTAGCATGCATGTACCCCTGGATTTAATTCCTCAGTACCACATAAACAAAAAATAATAAAAGAAATTTTTTAAAAAGAAAGATATTTTTATCTTACCCTGTAATTCTTAAGTTTAATGCTTCTCTCATTTTTAAAATTTTACTTTTGAGATAATATACATTTGTAATATGATGGAGTTTCATTGTGATATTTCCACATTTGCACACAGTGTACTGTGAATACTTACAGCTTGTGCATGAAATTGACCTGTCATGTATCAAATTGACCTGTGTATCTTCAAAACTGCCTTAAAAATTTGTTGGGCAATTTTATAATTTAGATTCATAGATTTGAAAAAAGAAATTATCCTTATTTCTACTCAGAAATTTTATTTTCAACCCATGTTCAATGTTTGTTACTATATGTATCATAACCAACTGAACTGAGTAGTTGAAGACTTTGAAGGGAACTAAAGGCTCATCCTAGTTTAAAAACAAAAAAAAAAAAAAAAAGCATAGCTTAAAAAAAATCTCACCTAACAAATTTATTCTAGGTTTTATGTCAATTTAAAATGGGAAAAGTTGAAAAGGCTGAAGTTCAGCTTGACTCATCAAAGTATGAAGATTTTTTTTTTTTAGTCTGTATTTACAGAGACAGTCACCTCTCTCCAGAGCAGATCCAAATCCAAATCAGACTTCTCAAGCCAGATATGAACAGATTGAAAGCAAACCTGAAATCTAATTCTACCCACTTAGGTATTTTTAAATGATAAACATTTTATATAAAACATAAGAATATGAGATATTATTTACTAAATTCCCAAACACATTGCTGAGATGGAAACATTTTAATATTAAAAGTAAACAATAAAATACATGTCAGTAAATCCAAATTCAATGTTACTGTAACTATTACAAAGATGGATTTTATACTAAATAAGAAACATTGTTCTAAAAAATCTGCTAAGTACAGTGATGTATTTAGAGAAATATTATGATTAAAAGAATTCTTATAATGAAGAATGCTGTGCGATCTTGAAGAATACCAAATTCTAAAAAGATAAGCCTTATAAAAATCAAATACACAATTTTTACTTATATGCTTTTCAGTAAAATCGGCATGCTTAAATATGTCATACTGCTTATCATGCAATACAAATGTAACAAAATATTTAGATATAGTTAAATGTAAGGTAAAATTAGCAATAACAAAAATTATATTAGACAGAAAGGAAAAGACTCTAACCACTTTGTCCTCCTGGTGTGAAAATCCACGAAAGCAAGTTTTAAAAGACAGAAAAGACAAAACAAAAAAGAAATCATTAATTCCATTCTTTTTCTAATTTTTACGTATTTAATAATACTTTTCTGATAAAACAAAAATTCTGACAATATTTAAGTTACATTTTTACTGAAATCTAAAATTTCAGATTTTAAATTTAAAATTTTAGGATGGAATTTTTCCCATATATTTCATTCACTTCAAGCAAGCGCATCTTTGAACATGCTCAAATGCACAATTATCATAAAAGCAATTAAACATCCAAACATCAGAAAAAGAGAGTGAGCTCTTCACAAATAAAATCCTAATTAAACACCGAGCTCAAAGGAAAAACTTCTTAAATGTTTAGGAATAAAGCTCTTATGAACAAAGATAATAGAATCATTGCTTATCTCTTATTCTATCACAAGTAGACAAAACATAATTTTACATGAATTATGCATAATGCTTCTAATCTTTTACATTTCATTAAGACTTCTAAACACCACATAACAAAAAATCAATTGAATAAGTCACTAAATGTAAAATTTATTGATTATAATAGGCAAATGTAGATCCATTTCCCAATATTATAACGGTACAAAGTGATACAAGAGATATAATTTAGCTAAAGTACCTATTTAGATAAACTGAAAACTAAACTCTATTGGTACATTTTCATCTAAGTATAAAACCATAATAATAAAAGTATTAAAGCAACAATAATGAACTGATTTATTATAAGGATTTACATAAATTAAAATCAAAATTATGTCCTTTGGAGGTACCAATGTTTCTTAGAAATACAGGTGTCAGTAAGAGAATGGCAATAACACAAACCTATATTTAAATCTTTAAGCAACACCTGTACCTATATATCTTGTGCAGTTTGCCTAACTCTCTGTCTTTACATTCTCATCTACAAAACAGGGAATTAAATATTTATTTGATAGAGGCTACTGAAAATGGTGTACAATAACACATTTGCCTCAGAATAGTATCTGATACTTCATTCTATAACTGATCATCTAGATTATTAAAACATGGGAAATTGTATAGAAGGGACAGGAATGCATCCTCTATATTACTATGCTCTTAACTGCTTCCTATGTTACTAATGTTAAGACTACAGGTGATAAAAAGTCACTGTACACAGTCAAAGATACTGTTTTGCCTATCTTCTCTAATCCATGAAAGACACCTCTCTTTCACAATCCCACAATATTCTCTCAGCTCCCCCCTCTCTCCTTCCCTCCATTTTCTCTCTCTCTCTAGAAAAACAAATTCTCCTTCTATAGTTTAACTTTTTCATCTACAAGTTTGTTTTGTCAACTTTAAGCAAACAAGTGTCTCAGTAAGAAACATCACCAAGGAGCTGGATTTTTTTTAAGGGGCCAGGGGAAATTCCTTTGTACAATTACTTAAAGATAATAAAATAATTTAAAGATAATAAGAATACATTTTCTAAAAAATCTTCCCCAAGCTGGGGAATTCTAGGTACTCAGGAAGCTGAGATCTGAGGATCGCTGTTGGAAGCCAGCTAGGGCAAGAAAATCCATGAGACTATTATCTCCATTAAACTACTCAAAAACAAAAACAAAAAAAGCCAGAAGTGAGGCTGTGGCTCAAGTGGTAGAGCACTAGCCTTAAACAGAAGAAGCTCAGGGGCAGCATCCAGGCCCAGAGTTTAAGTCCCAGAACAGGGGGGAAAAAAGTCTGTCCCAAGCTAATATAGTCCATGGCATGACAAGTACAATATTCATTCAGTCGACATGACATGCTAAATATTCAGAAAGCAGTCAAGGGGAATTAAAGAGATGTAATCATTTAGTACAAATAAAAAAAATTTAAGTACATTAGAGATCTGTGTAACTAGTAGGGTACGAAAATGAGCTAATTTACCTGGTATACCCAAAAAAGAATCATAAGGAAAGTGATATTTAAGTCCAGAAAAATAAAAAAAGTGTTCATTAAGTAGTCAAGGAATGTAAGGATGTAGAGGCAAGAAGAGTTTTATATGAACTTACAGCAGCAAGAATAACAAAAATGTATAAGACAAAAGTATAATGTGATTGAAAAATCCAGAATGGAGGAGAACTCATGCCTTCCTAGAGTAAGAATGGAAATAAATCACAAGTGGAAAGTTCTTTATGTCACTAGAAACTTCAGTTACTTGAGAGATAATGTTCACTCAACAGGTTTTTTGAAACAGATAAAATAATCAGATTTGCATTTTACAAATATTAAGATGGCTATATATGTGATTTGGGAATCTAAGACTGGAGCAGTCCTCAATGGCAGGATACTACTAGCATTGACTCAGATGATAGAAAACAAGAGCTGGAAAATGAAGAGAGGAAGTGGCACTGGGGCTCAAAGTAATAGAGCGTTTGCCTTGAGAGAAAAAGTTCAGGGACAATACCCAAGCCCTGAGTTCAGTCCCATGATCAACAAAGAGAAAGAGAGAGAGAGAGAGAGAGAGAGAGAGAGAGAGAGAGAGAGAGAGAGAGAGAGTTCTTAAAAAGACAGCAGTTATTAGTTTACGTAAATGAAGAAGTGATCATTTACGTATTTTATTGTGGAGAGAGCCATAAGGAAACCTAAACTGATCACTGACTTTCTGAATTAAGTGGCATAATTTAGAACTATAGTACTCATTAAAAAGTTTACATTTTTAGGAGGAGTAACCTAGGGGCTATCCCAACAATTAAAAAAGTACATATGAGGTCTGTTTATAATATGTAAGATTCAACTCTATTCTAATATATTTACTAAAGGAGAAGTAAAAAGACAAGACTTCTAAAGTAGAATACAATGTCCTATTATTATGGACCCAAAATAATGTCAATAAAACGTTTTAAAATAGGTATTACTCATAAATACTTTTACTAAAAACTTTGTTACATCGGTCATTTTAAGTTTTTGCTAATATTTGAAGTTAAAGTACATTCATATAATGGAGTATTATTTTATTTGGCCCTAAATTAGGTTGTTTTTAGAAAAATGGAAAGAGCTAGAAGACAACATGTTATGTGAGACAAGACAAGCTCAGAAAGACAATTATCACGGATCTTCACGCATATGCTGAACCAGCACTTAGAAAAAAATTCTATGGCAAGACTATGAAAGGTGGATTGTTGGGGTGAACCAATAGGTAGGATAAGGGAAAAAGAAAAGGGTGACAAGAGGTGAATTTTATAGAAATACATTCTATTTGTATGGAAACAGCATAACGAAGGCCATCAACTATTATTTAAAAGGCGGGTGGTAGAGAGATTGGGTTTAGAAAGAGTAATATACATGGGGTGAATATGATCAAAGTACATTATTCATGTTGTAAATATCAGATACATAGGAAGCATGTACATGGTATTTACGGGCTCTTTGTATAATTAATATATGCTAATAATGATTTAAATGATTTTTTTGGAAAGGAAGTGGGTAAGACTTACCAGGTATAGCTTTTTTTTTTTTTTTTTTGTCCGGTCGTGGGGCCTTAACTCTGGGCCTGGGCGCTGTCCCTCAGCTCTTCAGATCAAGGCTAGCACTCTACCACTTGAGCCACAGCGCCACTTCCGACTTTTTTCTTTTTGCTTATGTGGTGCTGAGGAATCGAACCCAGGGCCTCAGGCATGCAAGGCAAGTGCTCTACTACTGAGCCACCTTCTCAGCCCCAGGTATAACATTTTAAAACAAATGAATTCATGTCTAATACCTGAGCCATTTTACATCTCTTACTTGCAAATATCAGTTCTGGCATACTGTAGCTTTAGTGCTAGCAAAATTCCTATCTATATAAACTTATATACTACTACTATGATTAAAAAGCATAAGATTACCCAATTCATTCTATTAAGCCAACATGACCCTAATGCCAAAACCAAAGAAAGACATTCTAAGGAAAGAAAAACAAAGACACTATACGTCTCATGAACCTAGCAGCAAAAATGTAAACAAAATTTTTATCACATCAAACTTACTCAAATATAAAATGAAGCTTTAGAATTCTAGGAATACAAAATTCAATGTACCTCAACATATTAGTAAAGCAAAAAAAACCATAACATTACTCCCAATGAATGAAAAGTTTTTGAGAAAAAATTAAAATTCTCAGACTGAATGCAACTCACATGGTAACATACTTGTCTAGCATACTACAGTCAATCTCCAGTACTAAAGTGAAGAAAACCCTCTCAATAAATCTGACCTAAATGGTGTTAATGAAGTTGACCATCAACATCATACTTGATTCTGAAAGACTGACTGCTTTCCTCTAGGATGAAAAACAATACAAGGACTTTAGCTTTCATCACTTCCATTTACATATTCTAGAGTTTCTACCCAATGCATTCATTCAAAAATAGTAATAGGAAAAAGGAATCATAACCAAGCAAGCCAAAATGAAAAGAGATTTATTATGGGGAAAACAAAATACTGAAAAAAAGAGCAATCACATAGGGAACTAATTCCCACAATTACATCCAAATGTTGTATATAAAAATATCAGCTTCCTATTTTAAACTGTACAAGTAAATATTTTGATGATAAAATACTAGCAAGGAAATAAAGGCAAATTCTAAAGAACTTACTAAAATGAACATTTTTTAAATACTGTTTTTTCCTAATTTCAGTGAATACTTTTTCTGTTGCATTGACATATTCACTAAAGTGTAGAGATAAACTAAAAATCTATAAGTATGAACAGATCTTTACCATGTTGTCTTTAAATTCTATCATTGAATGTTACTTCATCAATGTTAAAAGAAACACAAAGGGGGATATAGCTTCAGAGTATAGAATTATGAAACAGAACCTCAAATTGGAATAGTCCTCTTTCAAAAAGGAAAGAAAATGGGCCAAGGAAAAACAAATCTACAAGGCTCCTAAAAGTATAGTAGTAAGCCAGGCACCAGTGGCTCACACCTGTAATCACAGATACTCATGGGGCTGAGAGCTGAAGACCATGGTTCAAAACCAGCAGGGGCAAGAAAGTCCATGAGATTCTTATATACAATTAACCACCACAAATCTGGAGATAGAGCTTAGGCTCAAAGTGGTAGAGCACTAGGCTTGAGCACAAAGGCTCAAGGACAGTGCCCAGGCTCTAAGTTCAAGCCCCATGCCTAGCACAAATATATATTAGTAATGGAAAAAGCTATGTCAAACTCTGACAATAATCAGTTGTATGGCTTTAAGAATCTACTTTCCAGAAAATAGAAGGGAGGTTTTTTTTTTTTTTACTTTGTGGCTCTTTTCATCTTGATGTTAGTTTATATATCTTTGGGAAAGTAAGGGGAGGCACAGAAATGTAGGGACAAAGTGCCACAAATGCAGCACTAGACACTATGTTGAAAATGAACTATATAACTTGTGGGTAGGGATGAGAGGAAAAAACTGGGAGAGACAAGAAAAGGGGTGACATTCTCCAAAAAGAAATATACTCTTTACCTGGTGTATATAACTGTAACCTCTCTGTGCATCATCTTTATAATATTATAAAAACTTTTTTAAAGAATCAACTTCACTTGCTCTAAATGAGTTTTTCTTATATAATAAAGGAGTGAGATTAGTTTATCTCTAAGTCAATTTCATCATCTTTGAATGTCTAAGACCCTGTGATAAAAAACAAAAGCATGAGCTAACTGATATAAAATAGCAAAACAAATATATTTTAAAACCAATAAAGAATTTAAACAATTTTTATCTAAAATGAGGACAACAAAAGTTTTTGCTGTTTGGTTAATCTGAATAAATTTCAGGTAAGCACTTTTATTTTATTGACAATAAGCTTAACTGTAAGAGAATTGTCATGCTTTCACTTCTGTACCTTGTTTGAGCGTAATGACACACGACCTCCACAACGAGCACAGAACTTTGTTTGGCAATATGAACAGTTATGGCCACATCCATCTGCAAACTTTGTTTTGTGGCAGATACCACAAGTTGGGGCATCACCCTTCTGTTCTTGCTGTTGCTGTGATTCTTCTCCCATCTTTTTTACCTGTTCCTTATACATTTCAAACTGTTGATGCAATTTTCTGCAGAAAAAAACAGATGTTTAAATTGGTTTCCTAATCAAATAAATATCACTGCAATCTATTGATATGATTTTATAACCAGAAAATATATGGAATGAGAATTAAAAATAAAATTTTTGTTTTGATTACAGAATACAACTTGCATGGAGATATTTCTCTAAATAGAAATTCTAAAATTCCTTCCTATTATTTGTATCATATTAAATATATGATACAGGGCTGGGAAGGTGGCTCAGTGGTAGAGCGCTTGCCTTGCATGCCTGAGGCCCTGGGTTCGATTCCTCAGCCCCACATAAGCAAAAAGAAAAAAGCCAGAAGTGGCTCTATGGCTCAAGTGGTAGAGCGCTTAAGCTGAAGAGCTGAGGTACAGTGCCCAGGCCCAAAGTTCAGGCCCCACGACCAGACCCAAAAAATAGATAAATAAATAAATATATGATACAATATTTAATATATTTAATATATGATCTAATATATGATCTGACATATTTAATATATGATCTAAAATATTTATAGTAATATGTTTAAACATCCCAAAATATAGCAAGCGAATGTGATTTACACAGTGAAACTAAAAACCTATGAACATCAAATCAATGGGATGTAGTCTCAACTGGAATGATCTAAAGAATCTAAACAGATCCTAAAGAGGTCAACAAACACAAAATGAGTGCTCTCACTAACTGTTTAAATGTGTGTAGCAGTCTGGACATAGTTTGGCTATAACATTCTAAAATATTAATAGCCTAACAAATAGGGCTGTATAGAATAAAAAATAAAACTAGATTTTACTTTAAAATTAAAACAAAAAGTAAATGTCTCCAAGGAGAAATCAGACACACTGTTTTACATTTGGCAATAACAGAAAGAAATAATTGCTATTATGACAACTTAAGAAAAATCAGTTAAAATTTTAATAAATTTTTAAATGGGTTAACACAAACAGTTTGGAATAGCTTAAGAACCCAAACTCAAAGGAAAGTCACATAAATAAGCATTTTCCCCTAGACCTCCATTGGATGTTTATAAAGAAGACTGATGTCAAGACATGAAACATAGAGCCCTTTTACTTAAGTGTATTGTGCAAGCATGCAAAAAGACTTGTAACTCCTGAGGGACAGGCACAATTCCCCAAACTTTCTCTCGTTAAAAATAAAAAAAAATATGATAATAAGCTGGACACCGGTGGCTCATGCCTATAATCCTAGCTATTCGGGAGGCTAAGATTTGAGGATCAAGGTTCAAAGCCAGCTCCAGCAGGAGAGTCCAGAAGACTCTTATCTTCAATAAAACACTCAGAAAACCAGAAATGGCACTCTGGTTCAAGTGGTAGAGCACTAGCCTTGAGCTGAAGAGCTGAGGGACAGGGCCTAGGCCCAGAGTTCAAGTCCCAGAACCAACAACAATAAATAAATAAAATGAAACTTTAAGCCATGAGAAAGTAAACTCTATCATCTCCAGCACAGAGGCAAAGAGCCACTGATGCTATGAAAAAGTTTTTCAAAAACCATCTGCATAGGCAGGCTCCAGTGGCTCACGCCTGTCATCCTAGCTACTCAGGAGGCTGAGATCTGAGGATCGAGGCTCAAAAGCCACCCTGGGCAGGAAAGTCTGTGAGACTGGTATCTCCAATAAATGACCAAAAAACCTGAAGTGTCACTGTGGCTCAAGTGGTAGAGTGCTCACCTTGAGCTAAAGAGCCTGAGAGACAGCGCCCAGGCCCAGAATTCAAGCCCTACAACCAACAAAAAAAAAAAAAAAAAAAAACCTTTGCAGAAAACTCAAAGTGGCACTGTGGCTCAAAGTTGTGGAGCACTAGTCTTGAGCAAAAGAGCTCAGGAACAGAGCCCTGGCCCTGAGATCAAGCCCCACAACCAAATAAAACAGAACAAAACAAAAACAAAAACAACCTTCTGCCCATGAAGCAGTAAGCTATCCAGAATGGTACACAAATACAAATCAGAGCCTTGTGCCCACAAACTAACTTAAAATGCAAGGCAAATTTGCTTCTATAGTAAGGGAAGACTCTGAACTCAGCCAGTCTCATCTCCAAGGCCAGGTAGCCAGGTTCTGTAAAAATATAGACGGTAGAAAAACCTAGGAACATCTTTCCCCAATCACCAGAAAAACATCACATAATAACCACCGTAATTACAGGGCAACATACCTTCTCTGTGGTACAGGTATGTAGGAATGGCTAAAAGGGCATAAAAGTACTTGATACTCCAGCATACATACTAAAGCACAAGGTAAAAACAGACCATTGCTTTGGAAAAGTTTTACAATCGGGGCTGGGCAGGTGGCTCAATAATAGAGTGCTTGCCTTGCATGCATAAGGCCCTGGGTATGATTCCTCAGCACCATATAAGCAGAAAAAAACCGGAAGTGGTGCTGTGGCTCAAGTGGTAGAGCACTATCCTTGAGCTGAAAAGCTGGGGACAGTGCTCAGGCCCAGAGTTCAGGCCCTAGGACCAACCAAAAAAAAAAAAAAAAGAAAAGATAAAATGATTGCCACAACAAAATCCAAACCTTTTTGAATTCTTGATTGATGATTCACTATCCAATACCAACAATCCCACATCCACAACAAGGAATAAATATAACACAAAACCATAAGACAAAGGAGAAAATCAAGAGCTAAACAATCCATCCTCAAAAGGTAGAAAATTCAACACACTTAAATTTGAAATGATATGAATGTTAGGATAGATTATAACAGGAAAACTTTAAAATTGTTAAAATTGCTAAGAATAGGTAGAAAAAGGTGAACATGAATGAATAAGAGAATTACAACAGAAAAATGAACTGTAAAAATAAATAATCAAATGGAATTTTTGGTATCAAAAGATGAAGAGTTCCTTTAATGGGCTCATAAATAGATGAAAACATGCAATGAAAGAATCAATAAACTTGAAATTTTAGTTAATAAAAATTATCAAAACTGAAAACAGAAAGATGAATAAAAAGAGTGGGGAAACAACAACTGAAAATCCACGTGTTAACCTGGTACGTGAAAACAGAATCCCAGAAAAACAGAAGGGAAAACATTTGAAGATATAATGACCAAGAATTTTCCTAAATTAATTATATCAAAAATAAAAAGGGTGGTTGTGGTGGTGGAAGAGGAGGAGGAGGAAGAGAAGGCAGCCATGGCTGGGAAGGTGGCTCAGTGGTAGAGCGCTTGCCTTGAATGCCTGAGGCCCTGGGTTCGATTCCTCAGCACCACATAAACAAAAAAAAAAGCCGGAAGTGGCGCTGTGGCTCAAGCGGTAGAGCGCTAGCCTTGAGCTGAAGAGCTGAGGGACAGCGCCCAGGCCCAGAGTTCATGCCCCACGATCGGACCCAAAAAAAAGAGAAGGCAGCCAGAGAAAACAGAAGAAAGGAATTTGTTTTAATTAAAGCTGAAATCAATAAAAATCAACCAGGCTGAAATTTGCAGTTCTAGGCAAGCCCAGAAAAAATGACTCACAAGACCTCATCTCAACAGAAAAGGTTTGACATGGTGGCATGGACTCCTCATCTCAGCTACAATGGGGAATATAAACATCTTGGCCCCACATATAAAGTCAAACCCTATGTCAAAATATGACAAAAGCACAAAAGGGCTCAAGTGGAAATGTTTTTCTTCCAAACATGAGGCTCTGAGTTAAAACCTCAGAACTGACAAGAAGAAGAAAAAGAGGAGGGGGGGTGGCAGAGGAGGAAGAAGAAGGAAGGGGGAAGGGAAGGGAAGGGAAAGGAAAGGAAAAGGAGGAAAGGGGATAAAGGGAGGGGAGAGGAGGGAAGGGAAAGGAAGAGAGGGGAGGGAAAAGGAAAGGGGAAAGGAGAAAGGGAAGGGGGAAGGGAAAGGGAAAGGAAAAGGAAAGGAAGGGAAGGGAAAGGGAGAAGAAGGGAGGGAAAAGGAGGAGGCCGAGGGAGGAGAGGGGAGGTAGAGGAGAAAGGAGAGACAGACAGACAGACAGACAAACTGTTGCTGACTCTTTGAAAACAACCATATACATGACATAAGCAAAATTAGAGGAATAAGACTTGCCACTGCTAGCCCCCCAACAAAAACTTGAATGTAAGCAACTATCTAAATGTGAAAATTCCTTCACAAAAACTAAAAAAATGTAGGTAAAAGATACAGCTTCTGAATGTAACAAAGAAATAAGAAAAGACATACTGAAAAAGGTCACCTCTCGACCATTTCAAAGAAGAATGGAAAGAAACAACTTCTGCTGTGGAAAGAAGAGGGAACTGAGTAGCAGACCCCAAAACCTAGTCCACCCCAGGAAAACACAGCTCTGACTCCATGACTCTGGCCTCCAGGCCAGTGCTTTCAGCCTGAGCATCCATGCCTGAAGAGGTATCAGATCCCGAACTTTAGACTTCAAGACTGTTCAGCCATTTCTTTTTTAAAAATTTTATTTATATTTTATTATGAAAATACTGTACAGAGGGGTTACAATTACATGGGCAAGATAATGAGTACATTTCTAAATGCTTTTGACTCAGAAGCCCCAAGCTTCCGGTCCGTCTCAATAGTAGGCCAGCACCCAAGTCTAGGGCTTCAGCCAGCCAGAATGGTCCCAGCCCTAGGCTGGTCCCCACATCCTGACTCCAAGCTAATATACATTGAGCTTCCAGGTCCATCCCAATTCCAGATTTGATTATGTAGTTTGACTCCATACCTGTCTAACATACTTGTTCTCTAAGCCCATCCCATCATCAGGCTGTTCCTAGTAGTCTCAGCTCCAGACTCTCCCCAAGACCAAACTAGTTTCCACCTTACATCCATAATCATCCGATTCTAGATCAGCCTCTATGAGAATAGTTTCCAGTACTGTCTAGCACCAGACTACTACTCCCTTTGACCCCAGATTCCAGGCTGCACTAAGTGTCAGAATCAATCTCAGTAGCCTCCCCTGGGCTTGTAAAATAAATTGAACTCAATGAAGAATTTAGTAGAGAACATCAATAGTGATATAACCAAGCAAAATATGGAATGTGAGAACTCAAAG